GGGTATAAATAAAGGTGCGCGTGTCCCCTAAACGATCACCTCTTGATCGATTAGATAGCATTCTCCCTGTTTCTTTAGTCGTAAAATGTCTCAAAATTCCTCACACGATATCACAAGTGACGTAGACCAACCGGATGTTTGTGTTGATTTTGCTGACTTAGGCCCCAGCATGGTTACTATGAGGGTTAAGGTGAGAATTATTAGGAGGTTCGTGTGTCCTGCGTATGGCGCTAGGTTCGTGGAATTCGTACTGGAAGATCCAAAGGTACATAATTATATACTATCATCAAAACGTTTATACTGTATGTATACTAATTAGTCCTTTATTTGTTTCATTAGGGTCAAAAGATACATGCTGTAATTGGTGGGGACGTCGCGCAACGGTTCTCATCTATCCTCATAGAAGGCAATTGCATAATTTTATCCGACTTTGTTGTACGAATGGCTCTCGGAAGGTTTAGACCGTCTTCGCATAGATTTCGACTTGGTTCAAACGCTCTCACTTCGGTCAATTTAATAAGGCCTTTCTCTCAAAGTGATAATTTCCATTTCGCGAAGTTTAGTGATATCAAAGAAGGACACCTAAATCCTTGCTTCTGTGTTGGTAAGTGTTGTGCGTTACATCGTTTAAAGTATTTTTAATTTGGATTGTTTATCACCCTCTGTATATTGAAACGCACAGATTTGATTGGGCGCCTTCTGGTTACTTTTGATTTTCGACGATCGGAGTCGAATCGTGTTAACCATCGCTTTTTTTTTTCAGATGAAAGACCGAAGGTATGAATTAAATTCTTTATAATAATATTAAAACGGAACGGATGTGACTCATTTTCTTTTTTCGTGCTTAAGTGGTGTACGTTTAATTTTTCGATAGCCGGATGTCTTTGTTGATTCGTTTATGAATGAACGGAAGAAATGGATTGGTGATTTCCAAATTCTCATCGTCATATTCGCTAAATTGGAAGTCATCGAAGGTCCTACCATTGCATTGTTACAAATAATATTTATATAGATTTCCCTGTTTGTGTTAAACTCGAGTTATTTTATTTTATAGGCAACGTCACTGCTACTACAGCTTGCACGTGCACTCAATTCTTCTTCGATCATGAATGTCCTGAGTTTTTGGTGATGCGGAGGTTCTTTACCCGTAAGTGAGAACCGCTGATAGTATTGGTTACGGAGCTAATGTGCTGGTTTTATTTTTTATGCATTTATACTTGCATGTGTTTTAATTTTCACTTGGTTTTTTATTTTTATACAAGTTTTGTAGGCAGAAATGCCAAGATTTTAAATATTCCAGTGACGCAATTTATATATTTTATGTTGCCATTTTATATCTAAACGTAAGTGATTTATTTTAGCCAACCGTCCCGATGTGGGATTATATCGTACTATCGTTAGATATTTGAACGTCAACCTCATCTATCGTCGTTTTTGTTCACTCATGACAGACATAAATTATACATGATATTGATAAATATATGTGCATGCGTACAAGTATATGCATTAAAAATATTGATATATATACATATCGTAATTAATATAATGCTACTACTGTATACGTATTAAAACGTAAATACACTTGATAAATGAAAGTTATAACCATATAATGACGTCCATAATATGATATTTATGATCAATATTATTGTTATAAATCTATTTTCAATATAAGTTTGGTATGATTATAGAGATATATGTAATATATTCCTTTTTAATTCGGATTTCGTTAAAATATGTTAAAAGTTGAATATATCTAAAATGTAAGCTTACTTTGTTTTGATCTTTCAAAAAAAGAGATTACCATTATAAAGTAGCCCTAATTACTATTTGCTTTCGAACTCAAAATAGTATAAATTGTTGCGTCGATAGAAATTACGCTTCACGGTGTCTATACTATGGCGAGGATAAACTTATTTCATGACATGACGCGTTAAATTCTTGCAAGTATGACTGGACTCTACGCATATAAACAAATACCAAAAAAGAAGTCCATAATTCATATAAAATGTTTTATATATTATAATAATAAACTTTATATAGAGATACATAGATTCGTAATAATAATTGTTTCTTCACTCTTCTAATATCCCATGTGCCCGACAAGCTTCTTCGTATGTTGGGTAAACAATACCTCCGTGAGTCCTGACTTCTTCGTCACATGTAGGTCCTCTTAACATTCCTGCGAGCCTTTTCAAGTGACGATTGTTGTTAATCTTACGCGAAACATACATTACTCCTCCTCTGGGGGGTCCTCTTTTCCTTGGCCTAAATTGTTTTTTGGTCCTATCCCACGTGAAATGATTTGGTATTTCGTTGAATGTTAATTGTCTAGCCATCGAGTTGATTTTATTTAGATTCAACCATGCCTTGAACACTTGATCTTCGTCGTGATTATCACCCATGATTCGGTGCCTTATGATTTGATGTATAGGTTTTGTTATATATATAAATATGCTATAGGTTTAGGTTAGATGTCACGCCGACGTGGTGTTATATATAGGGCTCCTTAAAATATAAAATCGATAACATTTAAATATAAAATATTTTAGATAATATTAAACTTTATATATATGGTTTCCATTGTGAATATAAATTTTATATTTTTCCATTTGGCAATTATCTATAAAATTAGTTGATCGGAATGTATATATATTCCTTTATGGTATTTTTTGATTAAATAGTTATATGTTAACATGCCTTCATTTTGATAAGTTTATATCTTATTGTATCTTTCCGATTGTCAACTACAAAAAATATAAAATATTCTTAAGGTAAGTTTAAATTTTGATCCAATATACTGTCGTTCTATTGTGGATGTAAATTTTCTGTTTTTCGTTTGGCAATGTTATAGAAAAGTTAATGGAAATATCTATTTTGTTTAATAAAAAAATATTTTATTCTATTGTTAAATGTTAATATTCCTTTGCTGTGATAAGTTCATATCTTATTGTATCTTTCCGAACAATATCTACCAAATTTAACGATGGGGATTCGTTTTGTTTTATATATATAGTTTTGCGGTTGGTTCTGTTATACTAAAGTGTTTCCTTGCCTTCAGATGGCTCGTCCCCGAAGTTCCATCTGTGTATCTGATCTAATTCCTTCTATGAATGAAAGAATGATGGGAAGATTCATAATAATTAGAAGATTTCGTTGCTCTTCACGTTTGGACACGTTGGAGCTAATACTAGCCGATGAAAAGGTACCTCGAGGCTATATATTAAAAGCATGCAAAATCTATAAACGATTCTGATTCGTTACTACATGTTCTATCTGAGTTTTGATTTTTTAACCGTTCATTCGGTTGTTTCTAGGGTGACAGGATACAAGCTTCAATTGGTTTGGATTGTTTGGCTTATGATTCGAGTAGACTTGTCGAAGGAACGTGGATATTTATAAAAGATTTTGGCTTGGTCGACGCTGTTGGGTCTGTTAGGCCAACTAGGCATGCCTATAAAATTCTTTGGAATCTATCGACTTCTTTTAAGAGAACTGTGGTTACTGCTTCTGTTGACTATTTTAAGTTTGTACGTTTTGAAGATGTTCTTGCTGGTTTAGTCGATCCAAGTGTTTGTGTTGGTAAGTTTAACTCTTTTGTTTGGTATGTTCAGTAAATATTGCATGTGAACGTGATATTGTCGTCGTTTGTTTTGTGTAGATTTGATTGGTCGTCTCATGTGTGTTGGAAATTATGACGAGGATGAGGGAATGAATAGTACGTGGAAGCAGATATATTTGGAGTTAGAGAATGTTAGGTGAGTTCTAAACTTGGTTTATATATCTTGGCTGTGAGGGAATTTTGTGTAGTTGATTATAATGCTTTAAATATACCAGGGGTATTCGTATTCGCTGTCGCTTGCCGAAGGGGTATGCCACGAAATTTTTTTCTGGTCTGAAGACTTGTGCTGATAATACCATCCTGTGTATGATGCGATTTGCTAGACTAGAGCTTTCTCGAGGTACTTATTTAAACACTAATACATTGTGTACGTTTTTATTCGTTTAGTCATGATTTGTCTATTGATATATTAGGTGATATGAGGGCTACTACTCTGTGTACCTGCACAGAACTTTTATTCAATCCTTCGTGTGATGAAGCTTCGAGGATGCGTCTTGCTTTTGCTTCTGTGGAGAGAAAACTATTTTGAACCCTTGATTTCTTATAATACTTAGTTGGTGTTTGGTTTTTTTTTTTTTTTTTTTTTCTGATTCAAAAATATCTGTTATTCGACAGTTGAGTTTTTTTAAAATATCACGGTTTGCATCTTATTCCTTGACTATTTAATCGATTTTATATATATATGCTTATTGTCTAAATATCCAGTGAGCGTCAAATATACATACCAATTAATTGTTTTTATGTTGTGTCTTCGGAAAAATTTTGACATTCAAAATTACATCCGAATATTATCTTTTAGATAACTACAATATATACAAGATGCAATATTCGTGAAACGCGCATAATTTAAAAAATAGTATATTTTTGTTTTGATCGGATTATACGGAATATATATTGACATATTTTTTTACTCATTACTTTGATATGAAATATTTATCTTCAAATCTATGGGATATTGCTATATCTTATTTTATATTATCTCCAATTTCCGACATTATTACACAAGGGAGAATATTATGGTCTAAATTATTCAAGCGAACAAAACAAAGTGCCCCGTAGTGGTGGAATTGGTCAATGGGAAATTATTGTCTGATTCTTTGCAGGCTAAAAGATGCCCTGTTGGTTTGGATTGATGGTACTCGATAGGTCTTGTATTTCTATGCATGGTCAAAATCTATGCGTATCTCGATAATGTTTTTATCAGTTTTTTGTGGTTTTTCCGATGCAATGCATTGTAACGATAAATAAACAATGTAATTTTGCTTGCGTTTTAATTTGAAAATATGTATTTAAAAAAAAAAACATTCTTGCCTTATATAATTGGGAATTTTTTGGTTCATATTTGCAGCATATGGAAAAAATCTCAGTCACTAAAAAAAAAATGGATGAGCATGTCGACGATTTAAAACCGATTAAGCTTTGTTGGTCTATCCAAGTTAAGGTTCTTAACAAATGGCGTGAGAGATCTGAAGCCGGTTATCGAGCTTTACGCATGATTTTGTGTGATAAAAGGGTAATAGCATTTGTTTAAGATTATCGATGTTTATCGTATGTTGATGTTATGTTCTTATATACATTTGGCGTTCTGTTTTTATCATAGGGTTCTATGATTGAGGCTAAAATCAATTCCGAACTCATTACTGAGTATGATTCCGAGTTCAAAGATGGTGACTGGATATCTCTTCACCATTTTGAATTAGATTTGGTAACTGGGGATATGAGAACTACACGTCATGCTTATCGGATCAATTTTCTTCCTTCGACAATTTTGAATCTGATACCTGACAAAGACGATCTTCACTATACACTATATCCATCCTCTTTCCTTGACGTTTTGGATGATAAACTCATAAGAACTTACCTGATAAGTAAGTATATATAATATTGTTTGATTTTGTTCATGTATTCTGCTTTTTAATTTTTATTTTTCTTCTCTCTTTTTACCACTAGATTTGATTGGATATGTGGTTGATATCGAAGACATAAAATACTCTGACCCAAGTAAACGAAGCGCTGGTTATGCGATGACGTCTTTCAAAATTAAGGACGCAAAGTGAGACTTATTAATTCCACCTATATTCGTATCATTGCTACGTGTATAGGGGGGCTAATGTTTACATTTGTTTGTTGTAGCAATTATGTACTGCCGTGTGTTGCTATCGGAGATCTTGCTGAGCATTTTCACGATGAGTGGAAAAGGACTAGGAGTTCGCGGGTTGTTTGTGTTTTGCGGTGGTGGGGAGTCTATAAAGTTTCCGGTTTGTATCTAATTTATGTTTTGTTTATTTATAACGGCCGTTTGTCTGTATAGCTCCCGTAAAATGTTTTAAGCTGTACAATTCTGATAATTTAATAAGCTCGATGTAACGTGTTAATTCAGGATATATGGTTATCCAATCGGTTGGTAGATGCAGTCGTTTGGATCTTGATCCTGATATGCCTGAGGTTGCTGATTTCCGAGTAAAGTAAGAAATTTGATGTTAATTTTAGGTAATTCAGCATTTGGAGTTGTTTAGGTATGGTAATTGATTTATTATTTCAGTTGTAGGTCGTCTGCTTCGACAGGCTCTTCGCGGTATAGAGCCTGAGAGGAAGTTCATGTGTTCTGGAGAAGTGCTTGAAGGGGATGAACTTTGGATCTCCTGTTTAACTTAAATGTTTGTTGTTTTTAATTTCTATCTTTGTTGTTTCCAATTTTCTAAAAACGATCGGATTTGGATAATGGAAATCTTGTATGAAAATTAGGCTTTATCACTATAGCGTCATTCTTGACTCTGACTTTCTTGCTGTTCTGTTGTGTGTAGTGCAAAATTCACAAGCCAGTTTTATAAAAAAAAAAAGGCTGGTTCGGAGAGTGAATATGAGATTGACTGGGGGATACCAATTCAGCGTAATTGGTAGATGTTTATCGAAACATCGTGTCATCCATCTGTGCTATTACTTGCGCTAATATAATTGTAATAATCTATGGAACTGTGAACTGGAAGGAAACTATGTGGTTTCTTCTGTCTGATTTAGGATTTGAAATCGTACTGTTATCTTTTATATTTTGTTCTTGCTCTTTGTTGGATGTCGATCAGATAACTTTCCTCTTTGTTTTTTTTTTGGTGGGAGGTTTATTACTTTTCCTTTTTTTATTCGGTTTATTTTGCCACCAAATACGTTCGGATTGTTTAGACAACTGACAAACTGTTATTCCGTAGTTGGGCTTTGGCCCATGAACGTAAGATTCAGTAAAATGTTAATTTTTCACATGTATAAAATCTATACATTATAATGCTGAGATATCAATTTCACAAATAAACCGGATATTTATCAACAATAAGTACATTAATATGTAGTGATATGGTCGTGTTCTTATAGTAAACTAGCTCACATGTTGATTTCTGTACGCACATCCTGATTTCCCTTTTTAGTAACTATAAAATGGTAACTACCTTAACCGGTTTTGTATATTTTCTATAATACTTTCGATATGTCGTCGACGATATGGCAAATTATCATTTCGTTATTGGGCTCTGGCCCATGCATTTAGGGTTCTGTAAAATGTCAACTAATCACATATGTAAAAACAGATCTATATAACACCGTAAAGTTAGATTTCATCTTTCGGGATATTAGTTTATAAAATATTTAATAATCTGTAGCGATAAGGTCGTATTCCTTATTTCGTAAAAATACGAATGTTAATTCCCTTTTTTTTAGAACCCTAAAATGATAACTACCTTTAACTTATTATATAGAGATAAAATCGAATAAGTTTTTAATAATATTTGTTAACATTTATTCACGGTTTGTGATATATATATGCATGTATTTCTGGGTGGAGATATCACGAAAAAAGTATATAAATACTGGCATCGTTTTCTTTTCTTTTAGCATCCAAGTTATAATATATCTTCGCTCTGCTTCGAATTAGGGATTTTGTATTTTTACGGATGGAGCCGTATCCTCTTTCGAAGCTGAATCTTGATACCAGCGAGTGGCGTATTCGCGCAAAGGTTCTTGCTATTTGGCAAGAGTACTACGATCATTATTCGACGGTTGACATCGTGTTGGTCGATGATAAGGTATAACTCATGTTCTGTGGATTGTTGTTTTTAGTATAGTTTGCATGTATAAGTCGTAGTGTAATCATGTGTTGTGTATATCGTATCTCAGGGTGGGAAAATCCATGGTATCATACCTATGGAGCTTATGCCACAGTTTTCGTCGAGAATCGTTGAGAACCGATGGATAGTGATAACAGATTTTATTTTGAGACCTGTCGTGGATGCGTTGAAGCCTGTTGCTCATAGATTTGAGCTGGTATTTCATAAAAAAAACATTATGCGATACTCTGCAGGAGAGATCGGGTGATGGTTTCTATGATTTCGTGGATTTTGGGAGAATCCTAAATGGGGCGCATGATACGTCCATTTGTGTTGGTATGGTTTTTATCAGTTGATTCTTTTTTTTTTTATAAATTAGTGTTACACTTTTGTATTTCGACCGACGTTTTGATTCATGCAGATATCATCGGAAAGGCCATTAACGTTAGTAAAATAACCTCTTTTGGTTGTCACGTGTATGAGGATCAAGTGGAACATATAGTCTTTGATCTCCAGGATACAAGGTACATTATGCCACTTTGATACACAGAAGAAGTTGATCATTTATCGATCTGATTTATTTAAACTATATAACGCTGTGAAAGAGTTTTGAGATGTGTTTTAAGCATTACGGATGCTTTACCTCTTTATCGTTTGTGGATGACTGATCCGTCCGATGTTATCATATGTGTACTGCGATTTGTCCGTGTCGAGTTTAGGGAAGGTACGTAGCATAGAAGAAATAATTTATAAACATTGATTAATAATGGTTAACGTGTGGTTTCAATTTAATATGTAGGCATGTGGATATGCTCAGGGGTGCGCTGTTCGAAACTGCTGTTGAATCCTTCGATACCGGGTGTAAAAAAAATGAAATCAGTGTAAGTTATATATTTGTTTGAGGTTTACTCATTTGCTTAAGATGCTGATGGGCATCGCTTTTTTCCTGCTGATACATGTTTTATTCGATAGTTTGTTTGCTTTTTGTAGCTTCTCGATCAAGCACGGTCCGGTTGCGAAGAAACAGAAGATTAAAGACTGAACGTGACAATAGATCTATATTTTAGTTTATCTCCTTATAGATGTTTTTACGTTATGTTATCGTCTCGGTCTATCGGTCATACAAATTATTTTATTTTGGATATTTATCTTTAGCGTTATTAAAATAAAACAGATTTAATTTATATATTGGATTACTCACGAACGAAAACTACATCGTATTAAAAAAAAATGTATAGTGTCGCTAAAATTATACTGTGTCTGTTGTTTATTCTTGGGATATTGAGATTAGAATTGCTTTTGCAATGAACAATCTTAATGAGGTATATATATATATATATAATCATTAAATTAATAACGATATGTGTTGTAAGAAATATTTATTTAGTTAAATTTATACCTAAATAGAAAATCCCCGGAAACCTTATCAAGTTATTTATAAAATTCATATATAAGTATATATTCGAGTTATTCGTGGATTAGGTATTTTTGGTTTCATTCATAGCATATAAATATATAGTCCCTTACGCGTCTATTCGTGTTATAATCGTCGTCATGTTTACCTCCAAAACATATGATAGTGTTTGGCGATTGAATCCTTCCAAGTACGAGTGGGTTGTCGAAACCAAGGTTCTTTGTTCGTGGACACGGCGTCTAGAAAACAGTGGCAGGCGTTTAGAGTTTGTTCTCGCGGATCGTGAGGTTTGTTTATATTATACTGTTTTGTTTTTTTATAAGATAATGCTCTTGGATCTTATTTTTATGGATTTGTTCGTTGTAGGGTAACAAGATACAGTGTTCTCTATGGGGAGAGGTTTACGATAAATTTGTGTCTGTAATAGTTAGCGGTAGTTGGTTTTGGATTAAGGACTTTAAAGTTGTTCATCAGACTGGGGATTGCAGAGCAACCTTGCACCGCCATAAGATGATCCTTTTGAAAAACACTACGATTGTCAAGATACCTGGTATCGATAACAATCAGTTTTTTGATTTTGTTGATTTTGGAAGTATCTTGGACCGAAGATATTCTGACGACTTTTTGGTTGGTAAGATTTGTGGTTCTAATTGTATCTAAACATGTTATCTGTTATATTCACTGTTTTATTGACGTTTCATATTTCCGTTGTGCAAGACTTGATTGGAGAGGTTGTTGATGTCCAAACTTCTAATATCGAAGCTGAAACCAATGGAACGAAATTACATGAGGGTTCCGTTGTTTTTAATGATAAGGGCGTCCCTTTATCTGATGAAGTTATACCAGACTATGATTATTTACTAGATAGGTCGAAGAGATACAACGAGGGTAGATTAGTCGTGGAAAACAAGGAACCTACTCGCTCTTTGAAGCGTAGTAACGAGGATGTGTATGGATTTTCATCCACAAAACGTTTTCGTCCTCTTACTGGTGGTTATAAAGAATTACTTGAAGAAGTAGGAGGAATAAACGATCAAGGCCATGGAAGACTAGGATCCGAATTTGGTGAAGATGACGAAGAGGACGATGATGAAGAAGAAGAAGAAGACACCGAAGGAGACGAAGAAGTTGAAGAAGATGTAGATGCCGATGAAGGAGAAGGAGAATACGAAGAGGAAGAGACGTATGGGGAATTTGATTATGATGGGGATGATAGCATATATCGCACAGTTTCTTTCTATCTACGTGACAGACGGTACATTCATTATGTTTATAATAGTTAGGGGATAAATACTAATTAATATCCTTACACATGTACTATTTTACGTGTGAAGGAATGCTATGTTGAGATGTCGCCTGTTTGGTAAAGTCGCTTTGACTTTCTATGATACATTTAAAGAGCAAGCTGATGGTGCTGTTATTTGTGTTATAAGATGGGGACTTATTCGTTGTTATGGAGGTTTGTTTTGCCTGCTTAGTATATAAGATGGTCGGGTTTGTTATAGATGTATGCATGTTAAATAGTTAGTTTGATCGAGTGCAGGTGATGTGGCCATACATGCTACAGATTGTACGCGTATTGAGATTAATCCAGATATCCATGGAGTGGAATGCTTTGATAAATTGTAAGTTTAGTTTTCCGTATAATTAGATTTATGATGTTGGGTGTCTGGACTATAATATTGTTAATTCCTACGCTTCGGTGTTATTGTGAAGGGTCAAGAAAAACATGTAGTTGGGTATCTTGAAGAAGAAGGAAGGATTTATAGTCTCCGGTGGTGGATGTTAAAGTTATTATGTTTCAATTTCCGTTACGTTTTAACAGAGTTGTTTCAGCGATACCTCTATTATGCGGATCACAATTATCCCTTAGTTTTGTTTATTTTTTATTCTATAGTTACGTTCTTATTATGGATCATATATTTACGGTGATACGTTCGTCAGCGAGTACATTTAAATTTACATCGAATTTGTTATTTCGTTGGGGCTTAAAATAATATTTTATATATATGTTAAATTGATCATTTCGTTGAGGCTGCGAACAATATTGAAGGATTCTTTTCTTTAGTCATAGGCTTCAAAG